AAATGCATGTACCTAGCGGCCCAAGTACCTATCGCGCAACAGTCGCTGCCACATGTCCTGAGACGACCCAGAGTGGCTAACTCCACTTGCATCGTAATGCATCACCGGACAAGTTGGTTTGTGAGTGGCACGTACGAGGCTGGGTGGCGCATGGTTTCTATTTGAGGAGTTTCTGTAGTCCATGTAGCTGAACGAAAACACTGAAGAACTGAAGAACTTTTTTTTAGTTTGGTAGTCGACCTGTCCATTCATTTGGAAAATAGCCACTACAAATTACCAACCGAAGTCCTCAAGCCTCGGCGAAACGAACCCGATTACCGGTCGACGGCTTGAACCTTTTCAGTTTTGGGGCTGTGCGCTTGTATTCGTTCAGATATTCCAACAGGAGCTTTTTGTAGCACGGGTTGAGCTTAAGAAACATTTTTTTCTCGGATATTGCCGACGCTCTGCTGGTGATTGTCCCAATTCTTGAACATGTTCCGTTTGAACGCTTCGTCCTTCATCATTCTGGATAATGTCTTCTTTGTGAGGTCATTTCTCCCGAGAAACTTGTTAAAAGGCCCTTGACCAGCTCTCTCTTCCTCAGCAGCAACATTCTCTCCATCTCCGGTCTCCTTGCTGACTCGCAGCATTCTATTGGCATTATTGGTGGGACCACTGTTAATAGAGTGCCCCACGTTCGGGGACCGCGTTCCCTCATTGCCATCAGTAGCCAAAGCAGAGCCACAGCTAAGAAGTAAAGTGCTCATAGTGAGCAGCACCACGTAGAATAGGCGCATCCTTGAAAAATACGTGCGAATGTGATTGTCTTCCCCGTGGCAACTTGTGAACTGGCAAAAGGCAATGGGGGTCCGCTTTCCCCAGTCTTGATTCAAAGCTTATGAACTGACGTCTCCTCGAATAGCGCCAAATTGTATAAACAAGATTGTACAAGAGGGGTTAGCTGCTGTGTTTTGATTATTCCGTGTGATGACGAGACGGCCGTAAACAAAATAACTAAGCACGAATCGCGATTTAGGCACATCTTTAGAAAGATGAACGTCTCCTCTTTCTTTTGAGCCGCTTGGCAGCTTCTAGAACCGAAATCTGACAAAGTTTCAGACTCATTAAAAAAAAATACCTCCTGCCCTGACCAAAATCGATTTTTTTTACTGGCTTGCTAGACGTAAATTTTGGCGGTGGAGCCATTGGTGCTGTCCGTTTCATCTGAAAGAATGCCGAACATTTTTATAAAGCGGCTTTTGTGGTCAAATTCGCATTAGTGACTATTGGGCT